TGCAACAAGGGATGCCATGCGCTCCATGAGAGTACCTGACAACGCCTCCTCGCTACAGGCAGAGGCTGTTGCGATCATGGGAGCCCTAGCACACGCGTCCTCTGGGGAAGGACACGTAGTCATACACACTGACTCTAGGGCAGCCATAGACTCTCTCAAGCTCAGCTCACCCAAAGACAACATCTACCTCCTGACCACAATTCTGACACTAGCACACAGAATATTGGCTCAGGGTAGAAGAATTGTCCTTAACTGGGTCCCAAGCCATATAGGGATCAGAGGAAACGAACTTGCTGACAGACTAGCAGTCTCTGGCAGGGGTATGCCCCCTAGTCCCATGATCTTACCACCTAGCCGTACTTTACTTCGGAGGAAGTGTACTGGTGTCGCCAACTCCTTCCTCCTGCAGCTTCACAGAGAGACAACGAGAACCTCCCACTCGGCCAGATGGTATTCAGAAGCGACAGGCTATGAACCTCTGGCACTCTCTGAATTAAAGAACAGAGGCACCGAAGTCATTCTCCACAGAATGCGCCTAGGTTACCACTGTACTTGGCAGATAATTGAAAACCTTGACCGAGAAGCGAGGTGTTGCATGCATTGCGGCGAGCCGAACGCCACACTGACACACTACCTAGAGAATTGTGTTCACACACAATTCCTGAGACAAGAACCGCCGACAACAGCCGCCGTGCTGGTAAAGAGGCTTTGCGATTCGCTTACCCCGTGGCAGCAGGAACGCCTCTTGGCAATCCCACCGCCACGGTAAGCGTCGAGTTACACAGGTTAAAATGAGTCAGCCCTAAAAAGCTGACACAGGCCGGGCCATAGCCGAAGGCCCGGGCGAAGCTAGACTTCGCAAAACTCAAATTCAATTCCCTGAAAGCAGAGTGTTCTGTGCCGAGGTGGGTCACGCCTGACCCCGCGGCCAGGTTGCCGTTTGGTAGGGCTTGCCGTCTGACCTTGGCGCCCTCGCCTTAACCCAAGCCTTGTCATCTTGTGAATCAACTCCGTGTGCTAGATCTATCAATAAAAGAGTTTCTAGCCACTAAGCTTTTACTACTTCCCTGTCACCAATGTTTAAGAGGTGTTTATAAGAACCCTTACAGTGTGTATGTGTTTTAATGTAAATGTGAGTATATTCCTGTCACACAGGTGAAGAAAGGTATAGGCGTTTAGTAAGTTTATTGTTGAATTTCAACTGGATTTCTATTCCCTGGGACATAATTTTATATTCCTAGTATGTTGATATGAAGCCTGAGGTGTGTGTGAAATTGTTTTCTAAAATATTACAGAATATTTCATCTTTTTGGAAACGTATCGATACATTTCATAAAACAATTGAAACCCTGAATTAAGCAATTTAAAAGGACCAATTGATCATTTTTTGTCTCAGCTTTTATTACATTGCAGCAATGACATTGTTACTTAAGCAGAAAAGATTCAGTTGCGTATTTTTGTATCATAGGACCTTTACCTCTAACAGAAAGAACTTTGAGATTGCTGATGCTTTTTATACTTCTAGCAACAGGGCTTTTCACAATGAACATCCATGCACATATCAAGTATACAGCATACAACAAAAAATCCCAGCTTGCAAATACCAGGTGAGATCTTTTTAAATATGTTGTCCACTGGCTGTTCTGTAAAAGTTGATTTCATGAAGCGTCCTTAAGTAGCATATATAGAATTATATGAATTATGTGTAATAATTTCAGCATTATGATGGATGCGCAAGAGATCAAGTCGGAGATAACAAATAGCAAAACAAAATTGCAAGGTGAGTCGATTAAGCTCAGAAGAGTTTGACAAATTCAGAACCTAATATATAGGCAAAAACACATGGGCATATATATACGTGTGACTTCTCAATTACCTCGGAATTGGCCAGTTGATGTGTCCACACCCCCAGAAACACCCAAAGGCCCTCAAAGGAAAACCGAGTTAATTTGTAATCAACCAAAGTGTCCATCTTCCATTTACTCCTAGAGTCTATACCCTACAATACACTCACAACACATTCGACGAACATCTTTGCATTTTAGTGAATTGTTTTATTCCATGCTCAAGTGTCTCGATGAGAGTGAACAACATGAAATGATAACAAATCTCGAAGTACTAGGCAGTAAACCATTAGTTATAGAGCCAGAAACGAATGGCGACACAAAACATACACTTTAGATATACATAAAGAAGGGAAAGAAAAAAAAACGGCGTGAGAGAAGAGATTGGTTAAGTTCCTGGGTTTAAGTCCATTGGTTATTCATAGTTTTTTGTAAGTGCTTAGGGCGTACTATACACTGTTATTAGTTGCAACCACCTGTGGCTTTAATGAAACACCTGTTAGAAGGGCACAAGTGTGTATGAGTGTATGTGTCAATGTATTAGTATGTACTAATGACCTTACTTTTATTGAAAAAGCCGAAGCAGAGGAGAGAATCAGAAGACTTAAGGTGCTGTGCTGGGTTCCGGTGGCAGCCAAAAACCACAACACATCGGCGCGCGTTGTCATGGAAACCTGGGGGAAGCGTTGTGACAGACTTGTTTTCATGAGTTCAGTGAACGGTAAGTGGGAGCCATTGCCAAGGAAGTGATCAATTAGATCACTGAATTATTAAGTAATATTAAAACACACACACACACACCCTCTCACACACACACACACACATACACACACACACACAAATATATGTATATATATATATATATATATATATATATATATATATATATATATATATATATATATATATATATATATATATGTATATATATATATATGTATATATATTTTTTTTCTTTTCTTTTTTTTTCTTTTTTTTTTATAACACATATATGTGTGTGTATGTGTATGTGTGTGTGTGTGTACACGAATATGTGTTGGTATATATGTGTATATAAACTTATATATACATATATATATATATTGTATTATATATATGATATAACATATATGTATATATATGATGTACACAAACACACAGATATATATATATATCACCAGCATCATCATCATCAGCCTGAGTCAATCCATTGCAGGACGTAGGCCTCTTCCAATTTTTTCCAACTTTGTTTGTCTTGCGTTTTTTGCTTCCAATCTTGGCTCTCATATTTCGTTATTTCGTCGCGCCATCTTGCCATCTGTAGGTCTGGACCTCGGCTTCTTTATGTTATCTATAACCCAGTCTGTTATTTTCTTTGTCCATCTGCTGTCCTGTCTCCGACATATATGACCTGCCCATTGCAATTTTTTTCTTTTTGATGCTCCCGAGTATATCTTCCACTTCTGTCTGTTCCCTGATCCACATCGCCCTCATCCGATCTCCAATCCGATTGGCTAATTCCCAGCATCAATCTCTCCATCCCTCTCTGGGCACATATGGTTCCAGCATTTTAAAACTCGATATTTAGAATTTCTAGAAAGATCAGTAACCACGAGAGCTTCCATTAGTGTAAACAACAAAATTATTTTTACTATTAGAATGTATTTTTTATCCATACATATTCCTTTTATAAAACTAGAAAATATAGGACAGTGCAAACTAGTGGTAAGGAACAGTCGATCAATACAGACAAAACATAAGATTCTTTATTTTTATATTCTTCTTATCATGATGGCTGAGTGCTGGTGTCGTCAAAGTGGCGACACCAACGGCGTTACAGTGTCAATCGCTATATATGATATATGGGATCTTTGCACATAACACATCTATAGTGCCCCACATGCACCAATCTGATACAACGCCACCATAATGCATATAAGCATGTCCTTGGGAAGCATTCGTTAACGACAAGGTAAAATATGGTCTCATACTGTGGTGACCTAGTTTGGGACGAGGTCATGGAGGGAGAAGCTTGCAACCTTTTAACAATGACGGTAGTAGCCCCGTCTGTAACAAATGTGCAGTTGCAACGATATATTGGGGTAAAACACTTGGAAACAAGTGCC